GAGAGAGAGAGAGAGAGAGAGAGAGAGAGAGAGAGAGAGAGAGAGAGGGCAGTGACATAAGAGTTGGGGAGAGTGATGAGTTAAATTGAATCTTCTTCTGGTCCATGACAAATCGAGCCGGTGTTTCCACCTGAGTTGGCCTTGCTGTCTGCCACGCCTCACAGCACATCAGGCCCAACATAACCTCTTGTTGTCCCTCTGCTCCCTGCTTACTGCTTCTCCAGCTGGCCTTACGAGATATACAGGTATTATACAGTGTTACGGCCAAATCTGCTTGTAGAGTAGCTGCAATTAAATCCTAGTTCCACAGTGCGTCACTTCAAAGAGAGATTACTCTTGAATATCAGAATCAGGAGACTTTACATCTTTCGTGCAAACTTACACTTGACATGAGTCAATTTATGCCCATTGTATATCGTTTTGATCACATCCAGGATGTCACAACCAAAGCGTATACTGAATCAAGAATCCTTTAGCAGTCCGCTCTCATGTCTAGAAGACCACAGTTGAAGCCAAATTGAATGATTGAATGACACCGGGGTAATGATATAACATCACTTGTCAACCCTCTGTCACTATGAAGAGCAGTGAAGTCTGTGGGTTTTGATATCAGTCTCCCTGGGAAGGCCAGCATCTTATCTCACAGAACCAGAGGCAGGCAGTGGCGAGACACTGAGAAAAAGATAGACCATTAGCGGAGCAGCTACCGGCACTATCCACACTGCAATCAATGCGGATATAGTACCCACAATCCCCCACTCACTCAGAGACATCCCGTCCCACATCACTGGCCGGCACTGGAGCAGTAGAGTATAGAGCTGCCTCTCTGAAATGACAGCTTAACTACAGGGAGGGATAAGAAAGGCCTTTTGCATTTGTCTGTTCTTTTTTATCTCTGCCTTTCTCTGCGCCGCTCTTAATTTATGCGACACTATTATAGAGGGACACTATACAATGATGAGTCCATTTAGAGGTCTTTACTTGAGGAATCCCAAGTAAGTTTACCCTCACTTTCTCTATCAGTGTGTGTTTGCATTTTAGAGAGTGTTGGTTAAATCAGCATCTAAATGAGAGCAGAGGAATGGGATCTATCTTTAATGATAAATTATTCATCAACTTAGCATATAAAATGCATTAAAAAAACGCATTGTTGCTGATGTATTGAGTGTTTCTAGATTTATTTTAGCATTGAAAACACAGTGCAGGAGTGAAAGACCAATACTAGCGAGCTAGCGAACACTTCCAGTGTGGTTGAAAGCTTGTTGGTAGAGGTTGCAGAGGCTTTGTCATGGTTTTCTGATCCTTGTGTTTTTGTGTGTGCACATGCTTATCAGCATGTATGGTCGGTCTAATCTCTCCTGTTTTCACAGAAACTCGCCGCAGAGACACTGACAGGCAGCCTGCATCCACTCCAGCCTCGGGCGAGTATGAAAAATTAAAGATCCATGTTTTTCTGCTCCTCCTCCAACACTGCCGCACAGCAATGGATTCTAACAACTCCATTAATGTTATGTCAGCTCTGCACAGCCTTTGATATAGGGTTGCCGAATCATAAAGTATGAAACAACACAGTAGATATCTAATTTCCAAAAGTCTCTAGAGCTTTCAATAAATAATCAATCCATACATTTTTTTTAATATTATACTTTTATTTGGAACAAAGCCATCCTACAACAGTAAGTGCTGCCATGTGAACGTATTATTACTATTATTATGGACTGTTCTGTTTTCAATAAAGTCTGCAAATTGCAAAACCAAAGATTACAAACAGTTCCATCTTTATTAATGTGTTATGAAGCCTCTTTATAGAAAACAAGATCCCAAAGCCATTATGAAAGATGAGGAGGACTGAGTCATTTCCAATGCAGTAAAAATCCTCTCAGTGCTATCAGGGAAGCACTGAACACCTATCTTTGTGCTTTCATTCATGTAAGGAGAGGGTTCAAAAGGCACAAGATGTTTGAACCTGCTGTCCAAACCCCTATTGTGCAGTTATCCTTGTATGTACTATTTCAACTTGAAAATACAGATTTAATATTCAGTTTCGATGAAAATGCAGTCTCCGATATCACTGCAGACACTGTCAAAACACTCATAATGCAGTTTAGTAGGATGACGCAACATTTGGTTATTAAGCAAGTGGTTAATTGATTTCGAAAACTTATGAGTTTATTAGGTTTTTCCCAGGATGACTTGTACTTACTTGGAATTTCTAAAAATCTGACTTTCTTCAGCCATCCACTGTGGACCACATGATTTAAAGCTTCAGAAACAACACACAAGTTAGACTGTGTGTTCAGGATTATTCAGTCAAACGTCTGTTTTGAAGGACAAGAACGAATCTGTAGGCTCAAGCCTATATACGTGATTGAATATTCAACTAAATTCTACTAAATTTTTCCTGCTATAAAAGAAGACTTGAAACTAGCAATTGAGACCATAAACTCATGTTTACTGAGGTAATAAATCATATGAGATTTAGGGTCATTTTTTCATAGACTTCTATAACAGCGGACATCTTTTTGCAACCAGAGGCTATTAGAAGGAATGTAAGTTTAAGTCACCTCAATATTGGCTTTACTTTTCAGACCTGGAAGTTGCTGCCTGGACCCCAAACAAAAAGAGCTAAAATGGATCCCAGCATCATCTTTACAGTAGATGATGCCAGGTCACATAATAAGAGTATTCTGTATTGTAGTTAGTTAGTTAGTTCTCAGGAACAACTTGCACTGAGTAATATCATGAATATAACCAACTTGATTATATACTGCACAAATGAGTGACATGATTTCCACCATGTCGAACTGACTCCATTTTCTTCTGTAAAAATGACAGGCTTACCTTCGATAAGCACAGGAGGTATAGCCTTTGAGTATTACTTCACACAGTGGGAGATGTAGCAGATTTAAAAGCATACAAACGCCCACTCCTCTCACAACAGTGAGAGGAGTGGGCGTAAACAATTCTTAGTGATTTATCTGAAAAAAAAAACTAACTCTCAGCAGCAGAAGTCGTTGTAGCTTTTCATTACAGGTTTCCCAGCCATATACGAAGAAAGGAATTCTTTACATGTGAATCAGCAGTCAAAACACAAGTGTGGATCAGTCACGAGGACTCAGCAGTGTAGAATGGTGTGCTGACGGAGAAGGGAAGGTTGCTGGCTTGCCCAAGTTAAATAAATAATCTCTGGGCTGTAGAATCACAGGAGTGTGGGAGGAGGTCTGCAGGGAGCATGGAAACAGTGATTAGTAAAAGCGGATCCACTCATAGAAAATCAACCTTCATTATTGACTTCTATGAGAACTGATCCACATGCAATTGTACTCCCTTACCACACCTTTTTTAACAACATTATGTAATAGTGACAGTACGCCATTATGATGATGGATTAACATCTTTTAATGAGGCGCATACTGACTTAACAGAAATGAGCGCTTTAAATACAAAACACGGTTCATAAAACATGCATATTTTATGAGGATTTTCTAATTCTCTCCATGTGCATTTTTATCTCACATTCCACTGAACAAGTGGTCGCAACTAATCATTTTGCCTCAGTGAATTCAAAATTCACACTGGTTTAAATACAGCCGTCTTTTGAAATGTATGCAATGCTAAATATTTGATGAGCAGGACTATTTCTTGTAAATCTTGTTTCAGTTCCATTTAGTTGAGATAGCTGGATACAAACCCTGCAGTCATGCAACTAGACAATGGCATGTCACATTAGGTGACCGCTGTCAAGTCCTCATAGCTGAACTGAAAAGACCAGCTGTGCCGCAGTCATCAAATATGCCCCTTTTCACTGAACCTTCTCTGTATAAGGGAACCTAACAGCATCACAGGAACACATTTCTCCCTCTTGCTCTCTACTTTCTCACTTATGCCCCTCACTTTTACATCAGTCTATACAGCAGCCCTGTAACCCATGCATGTATCATAGAGCAGCGGGGAAGCAGGTCGAAAGCAGGGGAGCAGGAGTCCTTTAATGAGCAGCCTTTGTAAGAGAAGCCTTTCCGCAGGGTTCTTCCAACAACCTGCTGTCCACCTCCAAATTGACCAATTATAGTCAAATGGGACTGTTCTTACATTCCATTTGACAAAGAAGGTCAGGCTGGTCATATTAGAGGTATGCCATTTAAAAACAGAGAGAGAGGACTGCTGGCTGAGTAGTAGGCTATGTTGTAAAATTGTGGCTAGGAATTCTATTTCATTAAAGAGATATTCCCTCAAAAAGGTCACCATGAGCTATATATGGCACACTCGTCCCTGTTGGGATATTATGCGAACCTATCCATTCCAATGAGGCCAGCATCAGATACTAATCAATAAAAATCCCATCAAATCTGAGGGTGATGGGAGGAATTCTCCAAGGTGCTGAAAAGCTCATCCGGGGGAGGAAACGGGACACACCCGCCTTAGCCCCATTGGTACAACGTCACGCGCAGAAACTACCCGAGCGAGTAAGGTAAATTAATTACAGATAAGAAAGAGGAGGAGGAAGAGGAGCGATAGAAAGCTGAGGATGCAGGTTTGGTCCGAAACACACAACCTCCCCACTCTTAGCACACAGCAGGAGCGGCTACACCTCGGTGAAATACAACTTCAAGTGGTCTCATCAGCCGACGACGAGGAGATGCGTCCGCAAAAGCTTTGATTCGACCCCTTCACATCCTCCTCCTCCCGTCTTTAGCCCGCACACTGATTCCACTTCGACGGTAAGGCAGACAGGCGGATTGACACAAGCCAGACACGATGCGCGGATCTCCCCGACATGGGACAGCCGTGGGATTTATAGTGCTGCTGAACGCGCTGCTGCTTGCGACACAGGCTGCAGAAGGAGCATTGACGGACCATCTTCTTGTTGAGTTGCACGAGGACGCACAGGATGAGGCGCACCAACTTGCAACACAACATGGGTTCCAGAGTGCCCGAAAGGTAGGGATGGATGCTCGGATCAAATTGGCAAGCATTGCTTGCACTATAGGCTTTTTTCTTTCTCCCGAGGAAAAACTTAAAAAGAAAAGAATAAATGAAATAAATTAAAATATTCACATTAAAATGCTAAAACAGAGATCTATTTGGCAACGTTTCTATCCATAAATTAGATATTGATGCTAGCAAAACTAGCAGTCCAGCAGCCCATAGAACATACTGAGACTTCTCATGGTTTTATTTTGATTTGACTTCATTATACTTTTGCCTAATTTGATGACGTCATTCATACTCAAACGCAGACCCTGGTTAGGTTCCCCATTGGCCTATAGTCCTGGGGACTCAAAGCTGCCCAGGCTTAATTCATGTATATTCCCAAACACATCCAATTTCAGTGTTCTATACATAAAATAAAGAAAAAGAAGCTTGGAGATTTTTTTGTGTGTGTGAAATATGCTTCTCTCACAACATGAAGTCGAGAATTTTATACAATCCAATCTTTGAATGTTAAGTCATTAAATACCATTAATGGATGAGGAGAATCTTTTTATCTTTATTTACGTTGAATTTCTCTTATTGCCTGATTTGTTAAAGGGTGAAACCATTTTAACATGAAATTGTGGGACATTTCTAAAAAAAAACATCCTTTTCTATCACTCACACAGAATATGGGACATAGTGTATTCAGATTGCATAACGCGATATGCATTGCCTTCCCTGCAGCCACCTGAGACAATATGTCTTATGAAGTATAGTCAAATGCCGCACGTATCCCAACATGTCAAAAGGCGTATAACAAGCCATTTATGGCAGACCAATGGAAATAATTCCCTGACAGCGTGTGTGTCTTGTCCCATGTCAAAATAAATGTGTGGGTGAAATTGGCCGGAGCCTTAGCCAGTGAGGCGTAGCGATGAACAGAGGGGTGTCTGCGCTGCTCTGAATGGGAATTTTTTTTTCTTTCTTTTTTACCTCCACAATAACAAAAAACGTGTTTCAATCTTAAACTAATCTCTGTGAGCTGATTGCGCAGCACCACCAGTCCTGTTTGCTAGTTTCATTCCTTGTTGCTCTAGATCACCCCCCACCCCATCTACTGCCTCCCTATCAACCAGGTTATGTAATCTGCAGCTATATTGGTCTTAATGGGATATGCATCATTAAACAATGTCTGTGTCGTTTGAATTATCTTCTATTGTTGCTTAATTAACTAGACCAGGACCCAGAACTGAGACACACAAATGTGAGCACAAAGAGAGATAAAAGAGAGAGGACGAGATCTTACATCAGCATATATCTTTTGGGCAACAACGGTAGAATTTAAGAGCAGTGGAAGAAGGATAATCCTCATCCTTCCATGGCAATTTCTTTTTCACATTAGATCTGACAGGCGCATCTGAAAGCGTTTATTCTGAGGATTGACCCTGGTTGTTGTGAGCATAAGGGGGTCTTTAATCTGTGCACAGTGCCAGAGGGAACGCTCTGGATGATGCATCTCATTTCCTTGCCCTTGTGATTTATTATGGTTGATTCCAGCACTGTTCTCCAGTGTCTTAATATAGACCCTTGTTAAAAAGCCAGGGAATCAGTGGACGGTGACCTGCTCTCCTTCTCCTCCATTCATCAATGTATAGAATGTTTTCTATTGGTAATTCACACACTTTCTGCTTGCTGCCTCTGTGTTTGTTCTCATCTCTGCTTCCGCTCCTGATCTATCTCCCATCTCTTGTTTTATTTTATTTTTTTATCCAGCTTTCCTTTGGAGAGGGGCTCTTTCACTTCTATCCTCAGGACACTTCAAAGAGGCGGAGCAAACGCAGTGCCCACAGCAGACAGCGGCTCCAGAAAGACCGCAGGGTAAGCACACACACACACACACACACACACACACACACACACACACACACACACACAGAGAGATGCACATTGACAAAAGCACGCTTTGTGTCTACTGTTTGCATGTGCCTAGGAGAGCATGACTCCCCTTTTACTTTGCATGACAATGGTTATTTTGAGACCCATACCCATCTAGTGCAACACCAAACATACTCAGTGCAAACAGAGCTCACCCGGGACAGTCCACATGTCATCAAAAGCTCCTATAGATAAATACAGAACTTACTGTAAAGAGAAGCCAACATCATGAGGATAGACACATTATTCAATATAGACTGAGATGAAATAAGAACATAGCATGAGGGTGATATAATTAAAATTCTAAAGTAGGTCATATCTGTAATGAAGGTAGTATTGATTTATCGTGCCGATGTTGATGCACATTGATGACACTCTTGTATGGAGTGTGATCTGTATGAGTATCATCTGTATTTTGAAAATGTTAAGGTGTGCAGATGACGACGATGATGATAATGATGTCAGAAGCATTGGTCCCCCAGTCTTATTCAATACCCAGTTCTAACTCACTAACTTAAACTATCATTTATAGACTTGCCTTTTGGTGATAGTTTTGGATTTTTGGAGGGAAAGAAATGCTTTGAATGTGTTTCCTTATAATGTCCCATTTTTGTTTTGTAAGATTTGTGTTTATAAGCCTTCCAATGAAGGGTTTTGATAAGGTGCAAATAAAGTAGGTAGTTGAGAGGTTCAAGGATAGACTCAGAACACACTGGAGAGTCTGGTCATGGCCTGGCAATGCCCCTGGGTCCCAAAGGATGAGCTGGATCATGTTGCTGGGGAGAGGGACGTCTGGAATACCCTGCTTAGCCCCCACGACCTGGCCACGGATGGATGGACGGTTAGATGGTTGTCGGTGTAGCAGTGGTACTGCATTTGCATTGTAAATGATCGCAATATAAGTTATAATCAAATATGATAATATGCTATTCCGATAAAATTATATTAATATTTAATTAATGTATTTCATTCTGGATGTGGATTCGGATCAAAATTTCCCAGAGCTTGAGGTGATCACTAATTGCTTTGGTCTGTCTGACCAACAGTCCGAAGAAATTTAATTTAAAAGCAAAGAAACAAGGAAAAAGTTTGAGGAGCTACAGCTATTTTTTTTGCTTGAAAAATGACTTTAATCCATTTTCAAAATACTGTAGATTCATTTCATGTCAATGGACTAAATCAAATTGACAAATGGTTTCGGCTCTACTTCATGAGACACAAGGATCTGCCGTGTCTTCAAGCTTTTTTCTAAATAAAACAGTTGGGCTGCGTGCTGAGCTCTGTGTGTTTAGTTCTGTCCACCATTGGAGGCGGTGACAGCGGAGGTCCTGCAGCAGACAATCAACTAACCTCTCTAATTGCAGTTGTGAGAGGTGCTAATGAAAATAAATGCGAGCCACTCCACCGAGCTAATACAGCTAATGGAAGTGAGACAGCGCCGACATGGTCCGGTCTGAGTTCCAGATGCTGGGTTTTAATCAGATGTTTGTCATGCTCATATGCGACACTGCAGTTATGGATTTCTGTGGATCTCTGGAAAAGATGAGGTCAGCTCGTCTAATACAATGTTGCCTGTTTATCATTCTAAAGTGTGTTCCTCTAATGTTTCAAGGCGGTACGGCGGACATATCTCAGTATTGCACCTGCAATTCTGTCAAAAAGAAAGGAAATATTCTGTTGCATACTAATATTTAGACATAGATGAAAAAAAACAAATAGTATTTTAAAGGTTGGAAAATAATTTGACCATTGTAGAGTCTGTTAATTGTTTATTTATTTAAAAGAGTCCATACACACAAATTTAATATACTTAAAAACTGTAATTGAGCAGCAGCCCTGAATGTAGTGTTGAGTGTATGGGATGGATTTTGTAGTGTCCCAGGAGCCCTCTTATTTGTTGGACTCTATTAGTGGAGCATGTTGACCCACTTCTGACTCACCCACTAGCTTTTCCTTGTATTCCTCTGCATCTTTATATGCTTCCTTGTCCTCCCTTGTCCTTTTACATCTCATGTCCCACATTGATTCAAATGTGACGTCTATTCATCCACACATCCGTGCCTTCACCCAAACCATCCATCCATCCATTCATCCATGGTTCCTCCCTCACAATTTCTTTTTTTTTACATCAGAAACACATTACAATCTATTTAAGGTCTACCAGGCAGTAGGTGAGATATAAATAAAGGTGGAAGATAGAATACATCTTTGTGAATAAGCAGCATCCCCTGACCCTGAGAGACACATGCCTGGGAAAGCCTGGAGGAAAAAGGACGAGGAGAGAGGAGACACCGACACAGCTCTTTGATTTGAAGTGAACTGGAGCATTGTGAGTTGTGAGCAGGCAGTGGGCAAAGACGAAGAGTGATGGTGGTGCATGGGCACTGTTTGATGTTGTGAGTGGGCAGTATGACATGCTTTCTCAAGGGAAATACCAGCTTCCCTGCCAAGTGATGGAATAAATTGATGATGGATGGAGAGAAGAAGGGGGGGGGGGCGTAGATAATGTAGGAAGTGCTGTCAGTTTCTTCCTGAATGTGAATGTAATTATTTGAGGACAAATGTAACATGAGGCCACTTTAAAAAGGAAATCCTCCAAGGCAGAAGATACATTTGCAAATATAGTGATTTTATTTTCTTCAGAACTGACGTGTCATTTAAATGACTTGTGTTGATTTACAGTGTGTGTGCCTCCTGATTGTGTGTAGAGTATGCCATAAAAGAAAAATCTGGATGAATAGGCTTTGGCCATTTTAAAAGGCCATCTTAAGTGCTGCTCTGCTCTCTTATCTGTGGTGGTAAACACAGCGGACAATGCCTGTTTCTCTCACGTCACACGAGAGTGAATTTGCTAAAGGTGAGCACAAGAGGAACATGTAACCTCAGTGACTTGTTTTCAAAATGTAGCTTTGACATTGTGAAAAGACGTTTTGTTTTTTTATCATTAGCATCACTATTTCAGGTATAAAAACAGAATCAAATGAATATATATCTTTTTATTTCTGCAATGTTCATGTTATATTTATTTGTGCTTTATTTGAAATAAATAAAGTCAAGCACACAGTCTTTCCACCTACACACATAAAGAGACAGAAAAGGAGCTAAACATTCAAATGATACATTTCCAATGGAGAACTTCACTTCAGGCTTGGTTTAGGTATTACCGGACTGTAATAAATCAAATGACTCATGCTTCCTTTACCTCACCTCAACCTCCAGTTTTTCCAAATGTGTGAAGGTGCCTATTTGATGAAACCTCACAGGAAATGTGATTTCAAATTAGAACCGCTGAATTGACTGGCTTCCGTTGATTGCTGTCGTCGTCACAACTACAGACAAAGATGAAGACAGTGAAATATTGGGAATGTATTGTTGGCTTCAATCTACATTGATTTCAAAATGTAGCAGAAATGAAAATACAACATTGTCAGAGACAGCCAATCATTTTGATGACAACAGCCAGCCAATCGAGAACCTCAATTTCCCGACATTTATCCCCATCATTTATGTGGCTCCAGCTGCAGCCTCTCTGATTAGGAGGAAAAGAATAGCCCTTCTGATTGAAATGATGTTCTACCTTCATGGTACAGTAGAGCACAGCTGGGTCTGCTGATCTCCAGCGCACAGCTACATCTCACCCATCATATTAAATCCTATTTCTAATTTAATTTGTGTGCACTTTCCCTTTCCTCTTTGTATTCTTTTATAAGAGGTTTGCGAGGTCATGTGTTGCCTTTAAATAGATCCTGACCTAGTGTTTCTTTTGCTTTTGTCCCCAGGTGAAGAATGTCTTTGAGCAAGAGGGTTTTAGTCGTCAAAAGCGAGGCTACAGAGATATCAATGATATTGAAGTCAACATGAGTGACCCTCTATTCACAAAACAGTGGTATCTGGTGAGTAATAAAGCCAAGCAGTGCGCCTGCATGCCATCTGACCTTCAGCACCAACCCACCTTAATTACTCAGATGCCAGGCATATTCCCCACTACTTTCCAAATCAATGTTGTAATTCATTCTGTAATTAGCCTTGCCGATACTGTCCAAGCCATCTCGCAGCTGCATTCATGCCGTTTAGTTTCCGCCCCTCTTGTTTACCCTAACTGGCAAGCGTGACTTTTAAGCCCCGGCAAGCTTGCTGTCAGTCATCTGGCGCGTCATATCGTTGACATTTACTTTCCCTTCTTCTCACACACACACAAACACACAACGCACACACACACATATGAATCTCCATGTTGACAAATGTTCTAATGGCAACTCACCAGGGTGCTGTGAGTCATGGATGTTCTCCATATTGTCTGAGCGATTAGATAAACACAGGCCAGGCAGACGGGACCCCTGGGCTGGATCTTAATGTGGCTGAAGCTTGGCAACTGGGCTACACGGGCAAAGGAGTTACCATCGCAATCATGGACGATGGTGAGTGTGATGTAAACACACAGTTATACCTGCATGCATATATTTGCCGTGCTGATTTGATTAATTGCTTTGTTTACATTGTTTTTTTAATTTTCAGTGCAATGAGTAGTAAGAAAAAGTTGCATTCCAGATGTTGTATGGTGACCACTGTTCAGATTGATTTGGCATTCTCTGTTGAAGGTGATTCACAACGTAGGACCAAGTAGGACAGTGCTACATGTTACTGTGCAATGGAAAGCATCTATTTACATAATGGCACAACATAATTTACACAAAGATATAAATGACAAGATATACATCATAACGTTGTTAGTAGGTCATTTTTATGTTGAACAATTCATTAAAAAGGACATTTAGCTGATTTTCAACCAGCTTTGTATCCTTACAATGCGGGAAGCATATGCAAATGAACAATGTTCAACCGCCCTCCATGCTGCCCCAAAGCCCTCTGATCAACCACCGGTAAAAGTCTGCCGGACGACACAAAATAACGCGTTCGTCGTCAAATGAGCTCCGGGCACCAGCAACACGGAGGGAGGCCAAACATCATTAATTTGCACAAACCACCCACTTTGCCATGATACAAAACCGGCTTTACTCAACTAATTGTTTCCTTTATCTGTTATTTCTTTGTTGTGGCATTAAGAACAAAACTAAATAAATATGAACCGATAGTGAAACAGCAATGAGACATTTGAGGTCACACTATCCTCTGTAAAGCACATCCTCTGAGGCTTAATATCCCTGATTAATGTCAAAATCACATTTCAGGCATCGACTATCTACATCCAGACCTGGCATCAAATTATGTGAGTACTCCAGTGTTATTGAACTTCCTACTTTCCTTCGTTTCTATGAAGTGCTCTTAATGAGTGAAGCAGGGGTTCAGGTGGTGGATTTCATGGGCTTTGTGTGGTTTGCCATCGGCAGTGACAGGTGCTTTCCAAGTTGCCTTCATGGCTGCCGAGTCTCCTTGTATTCCCGGAGGACGCAGAGACAGGCAGACGGCCAGCCAAGCTGTTTAATGTTAATGCACACTGCACTGTGGCAGGCACAATGGCAGGCCGATCTGTCACAAGCAGAGATAATGCCAGGGTAGTTGGCGCTGCATAATGTGACGCTCTATCTCCAGAATACTGATAAAAAAAAAAAACTTAAAGGACAAGAGGGATTGCTAAATGGAACAAGGAAATGCAGAAGGCTTAGTTTGATTTGACTATATAATTTGCAGTTTTGTCAGTGGAACTGCATTGCAGTCTTGAATCCAGGATGTTCAAATAAACCTTCCGGAGAAGCTGAGGTGCTGTGAAAGAGTGATCCTTTTTTGGTCTTATATCCATGCTTTTTATTAAGAATTGTATTTAGAAATGCCAGCAGTTTGTGTACCGTTCTCACTGATTTGCAGAACTAATAAAGATTACAGCGGCACATTGTGATCTCTGTTTTGCTTTTCCGCCTCAGCTATTGTGCACACTATGTGATCCTTTTAAAAGTGGCTTGCATAAGTGTTGTTTTTTTGTGTGCATATCACTGTGCACCTATCACTATGTTTGCCTATGTTTCTTGCCTATGAACAGAGATGAGCCTTGGCCCAAAAATAACACTCAGTCTCAGCTGGTGATGCAGGAGCATGCTCTACCATGCTGTGCATAGATCCATAGTGTGTGTTTGTAGGAGCATGTGCAAGAGAGAGAGAGAGAGAGAGAGAGAGAGAGAGAGAGAGAGAGAGAGATAAGACATTGTCTAACTGGGTAGATCAAATTCATGGCATATTAACCTGCAAATGCCAAAAGTATAATTAAACATTTTCATGCATACAGCGAGTTGAATTTCGCGGTTAAGCGATATAATGGCAGATATACTCCATTGTGTACTTCCTACCTTTAACAGTATTTAATATCAGATATCACTAGTGGAAAACATCTCTGATGGGAATAAAAATTAGGAAATCTGGTTGGATTTCACTATAATACAGTTATGACGTTGAGTTTGAACTAATTCCTGCAACGGAGCTATGAGTGTGCAGTTACTCGGTTTTTTTTTTGGGAGGGGGGGTTATCTCCAAGCTTGCCAGCACCTGATCAATATTGTGTTAGGCTAATACAATATTTGGAGGAAAGGCAGCATTGATCAGCGGATTTCTTTTTCCGTCTCAAATTGCGAATTTTTGCAAGTGTTACTCCACCCAGGGAAGTTACCATGACAACATGTTATGATCTCACATCACCATGAAGTTGATCTCATATGTTGCTTTTGTATGAGAGACGGAGCGAGAGAGCAGAAGAGAGAAAAAGCGAGAGTGTCTATAAAAGTAGATTGCGAGATTTATAGCGCTGGGGGCTCATCAAACATTGTGATGGAAACGGTTTAAATTGATGTTCATGACCGTATTTTTAGGAGTATAGAAGGACACATCCACCTTCACTGTGTGCTTGGACCTTGTAAAGTACTTTCTTTCATGGGACTAAAGCATCTTGCAAAATACTTCCAAGTAATGGCACATTCTACTGCAATCCGCTCTCCCAGATTATAATTTAGGTTATCAGCACCAAATGGACGAATGAAATCAGCCATGATAACATGATGAATGGCCCTAAAAGGAAGACATGAGGAGGTTATGTCTGCGCTTAGTCCCCTTTGTTATCAACATATATAATACGTAAGTCAGGAATAAAACACATCCACAAAAACAGGCTTCACTCTGCATTTAAATGATTTGCCTGTTTAGTGGTGGAAGAAGTACTCAGATCCTTTACTCAAGTACAAATTAGTACAACAAACATACTCAATTTCACGTAAAAGTCCATCCATCCATTTTCCACCGCTTATCCGGGGTCGGGTCGGGTCAGGCAGCAGGTCAAGCAGGCCGACCCAGACCTCCCTCTCACCAGCAACATGTTCCAGCTCATTCTGGGGGATCCCGAGGCGTTCCCAGGCCAGCTGGGAGATGTAATCTCTCCAGCGTGTTCTGGGTCTTCCCCGGGGTCTCTTCCCAGTTGGACGTGCCTGGAAAACCTCCAGTGGGATGCGTCCAGGAAGCATCCTAATTAGATGCCCGAACCACCTCAGCTGACTCCTTTCGACGCGAAGGAGTAGCGGCTCTACTCCAAGCTCCCTCCTGATGACCGAGCTCCTTACCCTATCTCTAAGGCTGAGCCCGGCCACCCTACGGAGGAAACTCATTTCGGCCGCTTGTAGCCGCGACCTTGTCCTTTCGGTCACGAACCAGAGTTCGTGACCATAGGTGAGGGTAGGAACGTAGACCGAGTGGTAAATTGAGAGCTTTGCCTTCCGGCTCAGCTCCCTCTTCATCAAGACGGTCCGGTGCAGCGCCTGCTTTACTGCTGCAGCTGCACCGATCCGTCTGTCGATCTCCCGCTCCATCTTACCCTCACTCGTGAACAAGACCCCGAGATACTTGAACTCCTTCGCTTGAGGTAGGCACTCCGTCCCCACCTGGAGGGAGCAATCCACCGGTTTCCGGCAGAGAACCACGGCCTCAGATTTGGAGGTGCTAACTCTCATCCCCGCCGCTTCACACTCAGCTGCAAACCGCCCCAGTGAATGCTGGAGGCGTAAAAGTCCTAAATTCAAAATCCTGCTTCTGTTAAAGTACAGAAGTGCAGCAAAATGTACTCATTCTGCAGAAAAGCCAAAAGGGTGTGAAACCACTGGAGGAATATATTATGTTTTTGTATGTAAAAGAAAATGAACCAGTGACTGCAGCTCTTAGATGAATGTAGTGGAGTAAAAGGCACAATATTTCCCTCTGAAATGTAGTCGATTAGAAGTTGAAAGCGTCAGAAACTGGAAATTTTCATGTAAAGTAAAGTACAATTATTCAGAAGTTACACTTAAGTAGCCTACCTCGTTAATTCCATTCCAAAACCTTTTTATTTGACTTTACCTCGGGGCATACGGCCTCCGCTACAGCAGCTTTGAGTCATTGCTCTCTCAAGTACCATTTGCTCCGAGGACGGTGAACAGACAAGGGTTGCAGGGGAAAGGTGAGGTGGCTGAGACTTGGCACAATCCATTATTCTGACCAACGGTTGCTCACAGGACACCAGAGGAAGAACAGAGTCTGATTGACAGCAGAAGGTATGAGCTTGAGAAGCACAGCAAGTGATTCATGGACAGGCCACAGTGTCATTTATTACCGGGACTCAGCACCTTTCACTCCATTTAATGAACAAAAAAAAACCCAAAGAAAAACACACAGCTCCTGACGTAAGCACAAAACCATAGTACCATAATCTCCCTTCAAAAATATTTCTCTGTGAATAATTGTTATTATAATAACAATTATAAGCCAATCTGTATATAATATATATTGTATTTTTGTATTGTTTCTTGACATGTACATTTACAATAAAAAAAATAGAGAAGTGGAAGTAATCACAAATGAGAGAAATAGTTAGGATGACATTTACCCTTCTGTTTATCAACACAACTCCTTTAACAATCACAGAGGTGGGAACCTCTCTCTACCGCCACTCCCTTGTGCACCCCAGCCGCCCCAATCATTGCTGCTTTCCTCCAGGCACCTATCCACATTGTGATAATTACAGTGTTTCTCGATTGGGTCAGTAAGCTTTTGCCGTTTTTCTTTCTCTTTGTCGCTGACTGAGTCATCTCTTCTAAATGTCAGCCAGCAGAGCTGTCAGGCCTGTGCGTGGAAACAGCCCCCAGATGGATCTGATGTGTTCAGTTCTGTGGCCAATGAACACGGCTGTGGCCTCTCCATGCTCATGACCACATGAAGCACCTGTTACTTTGTTCAAAATGGAAAATGGATTCCACAACAAGTGACATGAGTGACAGGCGGAAAGGTTATTGCAGTAGTTTGAATGAGCTTTGCAAGATTGCAACAGAAAGAGCAATAAGTGCTAGACTTTCCCTCGGATGTCTGTTGAATCTTGAATCCAACTGTGTGTGTGTGTGTGTGTGTGTGTGTGTGTGTGTGTGTGTGTGTTTGTGTGTGATCCTCAGACATGGCTATTCTGGTAATTACGTTGGCATTAATGTTTCTCTGGCAGATGTGTGTCTCTTGCGTCTTGTTTCTCCTGCTTTTCCGTTGCCGTTCATTCTGATCCTATTACTTTTGGCCATGTGGAATTAAATGCTGGCAGTGATTGGGCCATTATTTTCTCAGCTTGAAATCCCCGCTGTGACCACACATTATTCCAGTATCGCCGCAGAGGAAAGATGTTGTAGTCAGATTTGGGCTGAGTTGGTTTCTATTAACCTTACTTAACAAAACATGAAAATTTGCAACCTCGGAAATGGTTTATTGCCAAGTATGTTTGCACATACAAGGAATTGGTGATTGATGCATGACAATAAACACAATGCAATAGTATAAGACATAATTAAATATAAAAAAAATAAAATTTGCAATAGAATATGATTAACAAACAATATAACAGTGCATTTTTACTTGGGGTCATATGCCAGACTATTTCTTGGAAGAAACAGTAATCATTTCTACAATTCATTTTTTGTGCAGACTAAACAGACTGGTAGGAGGACTTTAATACTATTGACAGAGCCAGGCTTGCTGTTTCCCGTCTTACTGCTACGTTAAACTAAGCCTTTTAAATTTCCAAGGGGAGTTATCAACAGGTGACGTAGCGCTGAGCGACCAGTGATCAGGTCCGCCAGGTGTAGACGGCCAATCACAGCACATTAGTGCGGGACTAAAGGGTGGGAAAACAAATAATGCATGAGCGACAGAAAAATGTCAACAAACTACAGCGTGCTGAGATGAGCTGTATTATTAGTTGGATGTTTTCGAAAATGTCTTCTTTACGGTCTTTGTCTCGAACACAGCGCAACACAGAAACGGTTGTGATTGTCCAAAGTGGAGAAGAACCGGACACATCTGCCTGAGCAAATATAACATGAGCTCACAGATTTGTGCTGTAGGCAAGTTAGTTATAGTCAGCCAGGTGTACCGAACCAAAAGAACATCTAGATGACAGAGCAGGCAGTGATAAGGTCAGCACATCCCCAGGAAATGCTCCTATTTGCTTTCTCTCCTTTTGTTTTCCTATCTTGTTGCTGTTGTTTTTGTAAATGCATCAAATTGGTCCTTTCAGAATGCCGATGCCAGCTATGACTTCAGCAGCAATGACCCGTTCCCATTTCCACGCTACACAGACGACTGGTTCAACAGGTAAAGATCACCCAGCCGACCCCTGTTCATACTCTGTGTGTACTCTCCCTGGAGTCTGGCAGCTCGCCTCTATTGATTTTCTCTTCACATAGTTCCATTAAGACATAATGGTCCAGTATAAATAGAGCTGTTGTCCAACACAACACAATAGAAGACATGATACCTATTTTTACACCCTCACTTGGAGGAGATAAAGTAGACAACGAGGACTTGCACAAGTCTGGTCTCCTTTCAGAGTGGCAGTGTTCACAGTGGCGACCTCCTGCCTGATAACGCCTTATCTGCCTGTAGTCCCCCAATCACATCGGGAGATCACTGCAACACATGTCGGAACACGTGCCTCCATCTGCTCAGATGTATCAGTGTGTCTTGTGTGTGGGAGTGAGAGGGGAGTATTTGGGTTTGCCAGTGTAGCAGTTGCTGACTGTCGGGCTCAACTCGCTGGCTAATCAGCTGGTTGTTATAAATAGCTCACTGTCTGTAGCAAAGCATGCTGGGAGAAAGGGGTTGACTCTCTGCAGTGTCCCTGTGGGGAGCGAAGTGATGGAGAGATAGACACATTACGTGGTGCACACAAAACACTGATATGTGCAAACATATTCAGTCGGACTCAGATCGATGATGCATAAATGGATGGGTTAATATTGTTGCCTCTCCATGAGCTAATGTTCTACAGGTCACCGAGTGTTTGTTCATTTTAATTGATTTATGGCACGGATGCTAAACCTCTTCAATTAACAATTTCCTCATTCTAGTCTGGCACAAAGTCAACAAAATCATGACTTGCATCTAATCTGGGAAATAGTATCTCAAATTTTACCCACAAGATATCCTTTCTAAATTCATGCAAATTCATGCAAATCCTCTGAGGTGCATTCTCTGCTTTTTGCTGTCACCAGTCATGGCACACGATGTGCCGGAGAGGTGTCTGCAGCGGCCAACAACAACATCTGCGGTGTGGGAGTCGCCTACAACTCCAAAGTGGCAGGTTTGTGTCATATTCAAGCTACAGTTTGGGCAGTGAGATGAACGACAATAAGCAGCCAGCGATGTCAGCGAAATACATTTCTGACAATGGTATGATTTAAGGATGAAATAAAGCTTAATGTGGAAGAACAACATTGCATCGTCTGGTATTGAAGCATGTTTAAACTCTACCTGTTCTCGTAGAATTACTGCAAATGACTGCAGAGGTCAGTTAGAGTCCACATAGCCACACGACAACACCATTAATCCGGACAACTCCATGTTTCCTTTTCATATGGATTTTTCTTGAAATTTGCTCTGGGAGTAACACAGTAGTAAAGGTGAACTCAATAGAGAGCAGAGCTCCACTAGATGTGTCTGCAATGGCCCCTGCTGTATTGTGTGATTTAATGAATACAACCCACAATTGGCTAACTCCCTGTCTAGACACTAATGGGCTAAAGGGCATCATGATACACATTTCATTCAAACTCAAACACAAGCTGAGATTAATGAATCGGCTCAAAGTCGTCGTATAAGATGAGTCAGACAATCTTGCTAAAAACTAAAACTAAAATAAACTCACCAAGCTGTCTGGTCACATAGCAGTGGCTGATTTACCAAGAGGTACATCAGTGTGTGTACTGGTAGTTCTGTTAGCTTATAGAGGTTATCCAAACACACCATACAAAACAAAACAAAAAGAAACTTGACAGTCTAGATATTGTAAACTTGACCAGCTGAAAATGGTTTTATATATCAACCATTTATATCTACCTAAACTCTACTGTGTTCCTGTAGCAGTAACAATATAGTAAACCATAGTAGACATCATTTTAATGTCAGATTCATACGGAGATGTTGCTTTTTCAGGTATCAGGATGTTGGACCAGCCCTTTATGACTGACATTATTGAGGCATCATCCATCAGCCACATGCCCCAGGTTATTGACATCTACAGCGCCAGCTGGGGACCAACCGATGACGGAAAGACGGTGGATGGACCGCGAGAGCTCACGCTGCAGGCTATGGCTGATGGCGTCAACAAGGTAAGGCAACGTCATGCCATATCTTTCCCACTTGTATCAAGTCAACCTTTACAAAATCCAATTTGCGTCCCTAGATTATTGTTTATTCTTTTTGTTTGACTGAATTCTGTAAATCAGATATTTTTTCCTATTAATTACCGACTGCCCCCCAAAAAGTCAGAGTGTAGATTCAGGGTTTCTGGAGCTGATTAGGCATTCTGGTCTTGCTCAAGGACACTTCAGCAAGGTGAAGTCTCTTCCAACGGCAGCCAACAAGGGCTTGAATCTTATATGTAGATATACTTTGACACACACACACAGAGGTGCCATGCCAACAATGCCATTGCCAATTACTTGCTCGATTAATCATCATGCACTGTGTGCGTGGTAGATGTGGGTTGCTTTGAAACGACCCCGTCTCAGGCAGGGTAGCTGTGTAGGAGCAACTCGAACTGTAATCTCTGATCGTGTAAACACAACTAATCAAGCAGCTACTCGATCATAATGCCTCTTAGATTCTAATGATCACTTATATAAGCTACTGTGTAGGCTGAACATGAGGCGCAATGTGCAAAAAAAGGGAAACATCTCAAATTGAATTGTTATGTTATATTAACAACTGAGTCAGAAAGAGTGGCTTTAAGTCTGCCTCTTAAATATAACTGCGTGGTTTTGCAAATTGATACCGATAATGGAAATAAATAACACTGCGTGCCGTGCAAAATGAAAGCACTATGTTTGGATTCTGCAGCAGACAGAAGGCAGAAGGCGAGAAGCTCGACGATGCTCAAACCTGTCTTTGCCAAACAAACAGAGAGCAACATGAATAAGCATCGGGAAGGGAAGGACATGCCACTCTTACTCCACTTGATCTTTTGTTCTAGGGAAACTGTCTGCCTTTTGTAGAAACAGGTGCAGCATTTGGTGAAGAGGATGCTCTCTGCATGGAGCCACAGTCAGTTGTTTCATGTTTCAAGGCCCTCTATCAGCAACAAAGATGACATTTTACTGTGTGTTTAAATGCACACAAGGTATTATGCTCCATTGCAAGGATCATGTACAAAACAGACATTAATGCTTTAATTTGATCATTCCTTGATATATTATAGCTCTGATATGCTATGTGTTCCTGTATCCTGGTTACATATGACAGATGGTCAAGTTTTGCCATCAGCTACAGAATTATTTGAGAGTCTAATAGAATCAGCATAATCATTTCTTTAATACAGGTTTATAATGATAATGTTTGTGGTTGCACCAGTCAGTATTACCAATGTCATTATTACATGTTGTTGTATTGTATGCAGTTTTCCATTGTTGTTCTTTTGCTGTCCACCATTTTTACTCCAATAGACAACAAACCTTAAATCCAGCAAAAAGACACGCATGAACACAGTAGCTTCACCTCACCATCTTGATCTTATTCTATGTACAACAAACAGCTGATGAGTTGAGAGGTCAGTGAGCACGTCAGAAGTGTACTGGGAAGCCTAATTATCAAGCGCTTTAAAGACTACACACATAATAGTACAATTTCTGTATGATTTTCTGTATGATTTGGTTGAATCAATCACAAAGACAAATATATCCTTGAGACCTCTATCTATTTGCTACAAATTTGTTATGGAATATTTTGACATGTTTTCAGTTCAATCAATAAAACTTTATTCATGAAGCAACTTTCGAACAAAACAAATGCTCTTAGAAGTGCTTGCACGTGATTAACCAAACTTATGTTGAAATAAATAAAATTGATAGAATAAAGATAGTAATATATATATTTATACATTACTCTACTTTTTGTTATCAACATTTTATTAATTTTAGACATCTATACGTATAGAATACTTATAAATAATAAAAGCAGAAATAAGAGCAAAATATCAGTATTTTCAGCTCCTCATAGGTCCGCTGGAAGGCTATTTCAGCGACTTGGAGAGTAAATCTATTACATTAACTAACCTAGCTTAGATTATGTACATTCTTAGTGAACTAGCATATAAATACTGCATTGTTACATTCAGGTTCCCAAAATTCCCAAATTCCCAACATGAACAGAACTGTGATGACGATGTTGTTTTAGGGGCGTGGAGGAAAAGGCAGCATCTATGTGTGGGCATCAGGAGATGGCGGCAGCTATGACGACTGCAACTGTGACGGCTATGCCTCGAGCATGTGGACAATCTCCATCAACTCAGCCATCAATGATGGACGCACCGCCCTGTACGATGAGAGCTGCTCCTCCACCCTGGCATCCACGTTCAGCAACGGACGCAAGAGGAACCCAGAGGCTGGCGTTGTGAGTGTGTTTGTGTACACATACACTGTATGTTTTCACGACCGAAGATAAATCCTTTTGAGTATTCCATGGTCCCTGAAGTTGCCTTTTTCAATAGGTACGAGCACTTTTAGCATTCAAAGGCGACCCAATACTGTTTGGTAACGTGTAATGTCTTTCAAAGATGTGTCCTCATTCATGGACTGAACTGTAAATAGCTTCTTTTCAGTTGGTCCAGCAGCCACTGTATCCTCTGCCTTTCAGGAGATTGGATGTAACCAGGGATAAAGCCCTAAGAAGCTCTTATGCTGTATTTGCTGTCTGGTTGTGAAAAATGGAGGTTCAAGTGGAGGAATAGCTCTTCTGTGATTACCTTCCTGGACAGCCAGATGATTTTGCTATACATGTTCAGAGCAGATGCCATCACCTACTGTGTGGATCATGGCGATTAAAGCAAAGTGGATGTGTTATTAAGAGAAATAGGAAAATATTTTCTCTTTTATTAGTTGTTATTGTTAGACAATATTTTTTACCCTGACAGGGGAAACCATTAGCAGAGACTTCATTGCCACCAAAGTGGCTTTATTGTGTTTTATTTCTGTATATAAGTGTAAAGAAAAGTAACAAGTGAGACACCAAAGGTAATCTAGTGACTTACCTTAGCATACACTAATGGGCTATAACTGTAACATTGACCCTGAGTAATATGTCACCAGTGTGCGATCATGAAATAGAAGGAATGGATGAGTCTCCAGAATCAGAAAATCAGAAAGCATGCCGTCTTTGAAGCTGAAGCGTGACGGGTGATGCTTATACTTCCCTTTATTGAGGACAATTTCCTGACCTTGATGGCTAGTTGTAGGAAAAGGAGCGTTCTTGTATCTTAGCATACACGACACACATCGAGAATACAGGCCGGCACTCTATACCATGTGTGTGAAATAATTTCCCAATGTACGAAGGCAGCAGTGTTTGTGTTTGAGATTATGCAAATCACCTTTGGCTGTTTACAGAGCCACAGCTCTTCCCTAGGGTTTCCCCTCTAATTTCAGTCAATCTGTTATCACTTCTAATTAAGCCCTAAATCAAATAATGAAATGCTTATTCAGTAAATAGAAACATGACTTGTCTGCTGATGTGTATATAATAGTGCAGCCAACATACACTCGGCCCTCCTTTGTGTCCTTTTCTATCTTTTTTTTCTGAAACTTATATGTAAAGTAAAAGGATTATAGTGATTACGCAGATGTTCTTCAACTGAAAATGCTTTCCCAGACAATTGATATTGAATGTCTGAGTTAGTAGCTTAGGGACTGTACAAAAATGATTAGGGGGGGCGCAGGGATTCAATAAAGGGGAAATTTAATATATTGTTCATCTTTTGCTGTAGACAGGGTAGTGTCATTTTTGTCTTTAGAGACTGAACAATTCTGTGATTTACATACTTCAGGCCACCACGGACTTGTATGGGAACTGCACGCTGCGTCACTCTGGAACATCAGCAGCAGCTCCAGAGGCAGCTGGTGTCTTTGCTCTGGCAATTGAGGCGAAGTATGCACTCTACTGCCCCATCCACACACCTGCAGTATTTGTGATTATTGCTTTCGATGGACTGCTTGTATAAAACATTACTACGTAACTCATGTGCTGGTCAGAAGGTATAATTAACATGCTTTCAACCACTAAATCTTGATAATATTTAATTTGAAAGAATAGTTACGCTATTTATTTATGAGCTGCTTATTTTTTCCAAGTACAACCTTGAGCTTTTATATTGCAATGATCTATCAATCTTCATCAGATACCTCAGATCCTTTATTAAAATTGTCTGTCTGTGTGTCTGAACTCCTTAAAAGCACAAATAATTTCTCCACTTTCACAGAGTTGCTTATTTATCACAACCATAAGCTGAATGAAAAGCAAAACAGCACATATTCAGTCACACACAAAGTACAGACTCTATGTGCTTGTGTCAAGGACACAAATTTGGACCAGTGCTCTTCATATCTCAGTAAAAGGCTTGAACAATATAGTTATATAAGCTGATAAGATGGGCCCAGCTCTTATGTTTTATTCATTACTTAATATATGCATGTAGCAGAGAGACTGGGATGATTAAAAACTCACACTGTAGCAAATTGTATGCAGGCTAATGGTGATAGCTTCGATTATAGATGAAAGTGTTAATCGTGTCATATTAACACTGTGGTACAAATTGGAGTTTATTTTATAATCCTTGTGAATTCACAGCAGATTGTTCCTTGTGGATTAGAAAATACTTGAAAACACATGCCCCTTAAGTAAACCCGCCCACACATAATTAAACAAATTTGACAAATATAAAACCTGGAGAATTGCTGCTTCTCATATCCCAGAGGGGAGCCTTTCCTTTCTCTCAGGCGCTTCATTTCTCACATTAAAGGCTGACACGATTCTGCTGCCATTAACTGACACCATTTAGTGGAGTAGAGTAAAGAAACGTTGTTTGCTCTGCACACACAATAATGATGTTGCTGTGGGGAGGAGCGGATGCTCACCCTGTCCGGCGGCAAATAACCCACAAGGCTGTTTGGCCTTTTTACTGCCCAAACACACTTGAACCAACGGCAGGAGTCAGTGAGTCAGCCAGAACAAAGCTGTCACTACACACAGCCGAGATAATGGAGGGAGACACAGACAAAGGCAACCATCTGCCTCACAGTACAGACCCTATGATATTAAACAATTGAAAGCATGTCATTAATGCAAATCTATGAATCAGAAATATTTTAATACTCATTAAATGGTGATTTTTTTTCCTGCTATCTTGCCTACTGGTTCTAAATTACAATATTGTCTCCCCTCCATCACTCTATCCTGTCTTTATCATCCTGCCTCTGTCCTATCCACCCTGGTGACTGTTTGTCCACCCCAGCCCTAACCTGACATGGAGAGACATGCAGCACCTCTCAGTCCTAACCTCCAAGAGGAACCAGCTCCATGACGAGGTTCACCAGTGGAGGAGGAACGGCGTGGGCCTCGAGTTCAACCACCTGTTTGGCTACGGTGTGCTGGACGCTGGGGGCATGGTGAAAATGGCCAAGGAATGGAAAACTGTGCCTGAGCGTTTCCACTGCGTAGCCGGATCCATTCAGGATGCCCAGTGAGTCATATTTTGACATGTTTTTTGGTACACTGCATATTACATGGGCACACTACGTATTCTACAACTGTCCCCATCAAGATGTTGAAAGGAAAATACTGCTGAGCACAAGAGACTAATAACTAATAAGTAATTCAATCAAATATCTGTGATGGGAGTGTCTACTTCATAACCCTGTAACATTTAGATTAGCTGCTCAGTCTGTCTGATGTTCCTGTAGATTTGTTATGACATAGACGGATGTCCTGACAGGTGCTGTTTGTTAATTAATGCATTTCTCTTTTGACATCTGAATTGAATATCTGTCTGACAGATTATGGTAAACATCCCTAACAGAACTATACAAATACATCTGGTGCCATCTTGTTTTGATTGAAAATCTTAAAAGTATTTACTGAAGGACGCAGCAAACACAAGGTCACGGACAGTCTGTAGAAATAGATGTTAGGCTGTAAACAAACTACACCACGGCCGCATGAGGATCTGCCCCTATCTTTCTTTCTTTCTTCCACTCACATTAAGTTGTATCTTCCCTTGTATCACCCTATCCTCTTCCTTGCATCTCCTCCATCCACAGCATTGCTTTTACTTTCTCCTCTGTGCTCCCTGTCATCCTTTCTTTTCCACCCTCACCTCTTCTTCCTCTCTTTCATCATATTCATCACATCCTGAGGCTTTGAGCTCCCCATGTGTGATGCCTGGTCGTTTCCTGTGGCTAGCCCTCTTATTCACTCTAATTAGAGCACCACAAATGCCCCAGCATGGCGTTCCCTGGAAACTGTGTCAATTAGATTGACTGACAGCCAGAAAGGGATTCCAGGTGGAGGTGATCATGTGTGTAATGTAGATGTGTTAGACCTAACACAAAGCTTTCATATACATTGTGAAAATGTCAATGTGTGGGTGAAGATAAAAAAAAGCAGACTGAATGCGGTGCATATGTGTTCTTTTGCCACCATCAACACCTCCTATTCCTTATTTTAGTCTCTAATCAGTGCTCCACAGACAACGCAGTCACGACAACACGGTGTGAAAGTGTGCTTTTTTTTGTGTGCGTGTGTGTCCCTCCTTTGAGAACAATAGCAGATAAAAACGAGCATCCCTTAGGAGTCGTACAGCTTTTATTGCATCTCTGAGGACTTGCCCATTGCAGAGCGGTTGTGCCTTAGACGTTCCATTGCAGAAAGTGTCATCAGCTTAGACAAACCTTAAATATGTGAAAGAATAGCTCATTGTAAAGGTAGTACTGAAATAACCTCTCTCTTTTTCATCAGTTCCCTGTCTCCACAGGGGCTTCTACTGCCTCTATTGTGGTAGAGATATAATTACAACAAGCCCACCTCTGTGATAGTGCATCACCAGAGAAAAACAATAAACTCAGCATTGATCTGATAGCTGCTCTTGCTGGCTGCGGCTTACTTAGCTGGAGGAGAACTTTTAGTCCTGTAAAAGTATGTAATCTGCCTAGAAACAAGCGATGGACAACTAAGGGTCAGAAAGTGCAGCGAGTCTCCTGTAGCTTCAGAGAGCCTAGAAGCCGTGGTCAATGCTAATGGAGCGCCGAGTCACATGTTCGATCTCTCCAGGATCAGTGGAGCTGGTACACAGTGCCCCACTGTGTGGTGGGGTTGTTTTTAATCTACACTGGTCCTGCCCTTCAGAGGCATCCCTCTCCCTGCTCTATGACCGACGGCTGTAATCACTCTCTCGCATTATCTGATGGGAACCGTGCGCTGGGCATATTCATTCCCAGATTTAGTTAAAGGCACAGTCATAATTTCTAATAAAGTAATAATAGTAATTAAACATGAACAGTAATGACACTCTTAATGATAGTGAAGATGTAGAAATGTAGATTAAAAAATATTTCAAGCTGTCTCTCTGTACTTAGGCTACGATAATACAACCTCCGGTTCTGAAAAGTGAAGCCAATGCCAAGGTGACTTAAACTTGCATTATTTCTAAAAGCCAGCAGGGGGCGACTCCTCTGCATAACAAAATGTGACTGTATAGAAGTCTATGAGAAATGAACCTACTTTTCAATTTATTTGGTAAACATTGTAAACATGAGTTTATGGTCTCAGTCGCTAGTTTCAAGTCTTCTTCAATACAGCATGATGTTCATTTTGTATATTATGGTCCCATTTACAGTAAAATAGACGATAAAGCATGGTGTGCTTTAGGGCGTGGCTATCTTGTGATTGACAGGTTGCCTCCACGGCATTGTCCGGTATGGAAGTTGTCTGTGTTTTCATCTTACAACTTAAACTCTTTCACAGTGTGTTTTCAGTTCAGGAGAGTGAATCATAACCTTTTTGGTTGCCTAAAAATATCTTAGTCAGCGTTCGGTTGTACTTAGCTCCGGCCTCTCGTCTCACTTCTGGTTGCAAATATTCAAGATGGTTACGGCCAAAATGCCATACATGAGGCTTCAAAACGGCAGTGCACAAACCAATGTGTGACGTCACGGTGACTACGTCCACCTGTATATACAGTCTATGCATACAACCCACATATGTAGTGTAATGTTGTTAGTACAATAACTGCTTCATATTCGGTTACTTCCAATTACTCAACATGCATTGTAGGGTGTAACTTCCTGTGAAACACCCCACTGTGAATTGCTCCGTTTTTCTGGGAATAGTAATTCGCTTCAACAGCCCTTACAGATCACCGCTGCACTCAACTCTCTGTGCTCAGCATAGTGCTCTATTAATCATATTCACACTGCTGTTCCACAGGTCCCTCTCACTCAGTTTCTGTGTCTTGTCGCTGTTGCCTTCTCTCCACCCAGCCGCCCCCATTTCCCACCGCCTGCGATGCAGCCCCGGCCTCTAATAATGTTATTAAGCCTCCTCATAGCCTTTGGTCACCACCCTTGCCCTGCTGTGTTCTCACTCTTTCTTTCCATCACCCAAAGAGATAACAGCAGTATGTCTTCTCTATCTCAAAGCAACAACAATATACCAAGACCAGCCGGCTTTTACACGCGGAAACAAATCCATCGTGACAAAAAGAAAAAGGATCTCCTCATGCACTGAAAAGGAGCTACAATTTAGAAGTGGTCCAGTGCACGACAGGCAATACATGTAGTTTATTGACAAATGGCCTCACATTGACAGTTGGCTTTACAATAAAAATTATTTTACAGGAATGTAAATCCGTTGATTTTTATAATGTGCACAGAACTAAAGCGAGACCTTAAAGAAACATTCAAAGGAGAGCAATGCAGTAGACTGAAGAGAAAAGAAAAACATTCACCTGCTCTAACAGTCTTACAGGGATGCCCAAATATTCTCTCTGTGATATGTTTATTTCATTTTACTCTTTTAATTTGACTTTTGCTCATTTTTAACACTGATGTTGAACTTTTTTTTTTAACTTCCTCAACCTATTTCTCCTCCTTCAGTAAAATCCAGACCGGCAACAAACTGGTGCTGACCATCACCACTGAAGCCTGTCAGGGGAAGGACAACTTTGCCCGCTACCTGGAGCACGTTCAGGCGGTGGTCACTGTCAACGCCAGCCGCCGCGGCGACCTCAACATCAACATGACCTCACCCATGGGCACAAAGTCCATCCTGCTGAGCAGAAGGCCCCGTGACGACGACTCCAAGGTGGGCTTCGACAAATGGCCCTTCATGACCAGCCACACCTGGGGTGAGGACCCCCGCGGGACCTGGGTCCTGGAGGTGGGCTTTCAGGGCGAGGAGGCACAGCGCGGAGCCCTGAAGGAGTGGACTCTCATGCTGCATGGAACACAAAGTGCCCCTTATATAGACCAGATAGTGCGTGATTATCAGTCCAAACTTGCCATGTCCAAAAAGGAGGAGCTGGAGGAGGAGCTGGATGAGGCTGTCGAGAGAAGCCTAAAGAGCTTGCTGAGTAAAAACAACTAAAGTCACATCTGCATGTTGCCAACTCTTTCACTTCCTCTTATCTTCCTCCCTCTCAGCGATCTTGCTCTATCCTTCTCTAAATCTCCTCTGTTCTTCCCATTCTCTCGTCATCCTCCCTTTTGTCTACCTCTCTTCACTCTGCTTTTTGTTATCAAGTGTTTCAATTAGCGCCCAACCTTCAATGAATGTTTCTTGTAATCCAATCATGATAAAAGTGTAACCTTTATTAATCTGTTCTACATAGAGAAAGCAAACTATATCACCAGAATTTTTACACTTTACAGAATTGTACATTGAATCAAATATAATCCACTCCCTCATGCTCTTGCTTTAACTGCCCAGCACCTCTCTTCTGCCAACTGTTGTACAGTTTGTGACTGTAAATGATTTTCTGTGCCATTCTACTTAAAGTTTAATATCTTGCAAACGGAGCAGTGATACTTCTTTCTGTTGATATTTGTATGTGACATGCACTGTTAATATGAACAAGGAAAGGAATATGTGATTTATTTTGCAGCCTGTGGTCCTCAGTTCATATTTCATAATCTTTGACGTATGCCATAATAAATCTATTTAGCTGTTTATTTAAGCACTTGAGTGATTTGCAACACATTACCAAAGATACTGAGTAAAAGAAGCCTGCCATTCTCTGTCACTTCAGGGGCCAAAACTTAGATAGGGAACAACAAAGAATATGATGAAGACTAAATAACCTTGAGTAAACTTTCTCTGTCTGAAAAATATAGTCTAAAAAGTGGAGCACAAGCAGCTGCCATAACTGTTTTGTAGCCAATTTTTAAATCTTGCTCTGTTTCTTTGATTCCATATTACAAAATGAAAGCAAATGCTCCCTAAAAAGCAGAGTCTGAGCTGCCAAAGTATTCCTCACTTTATAGACATGTGTTCTTCTTAATGGTGCTGCATGTAGCATCAATAAATCACCATCATAACAATCTACAGTAATACATTGACTATAAATCTGTAAAGTATGTATAGAAGACTCAGTTTCACTGCATCTAAAGAATATCTGCTGCCGCTTGGCTGGATTTTGCAGTAAAAACACTGGATTGTACAATAGCAGAGAAGGACAAATCCACTTTACGCGCTGTGGCCAGCACCAAAGAACTAATTTGGCAAATATTTGCTGAACGAGGTGTATAAGTGTTACATCATCATCATTCAAATGAATGCTAATGTTGCTTTGTATCGCTGCATGTGTGAAAAGCAACATTTTGCCATATCAACGTAAAAGGTGATCATATTTCAGGGGATTGTTTTTACTGTAGCTTCCATTTGCTGCCCCTTAATGGCCAAAAAAATCAGTTATTGTAGGAAACGAGAGCAGAGAAAGACACAAAAACTGGGAGACCTAAGTAAATATATTTGTGGAACAGTATGCAACATTGTTTATTCGAAATGTACTTTATACACTCTATGAGTAATATATTGAGCGCTCTCACTGCGGACTACTAAGTGTCTCAACCATTATATAATTTGTGTACATAAGCCGATACCAATATATCAAGCTATAGGCTAACTAATAACTTGATTGTAGGCAAATACATGGCGATGGAAAGAGTACTAGAACATCATGCTTTAAGTAAAAGTACTGTTACTTAATAAAATACATTTTACTAGGTTGAAAGTAAAAGCAGGCCTATTTGTGTAAAAATGTACTTAGATAAAAGTAAAGAAGGCGGTCAGTTATAATGTACTCTGAGTAAACATTACTGCTTGTGGTAAAGCTCCAGAAGAACGACATCGAGTCCTAATCTCCAAACCAACAATAAATTCTGTTTCTAGAGAACGCACTTTGCAGCCATATGCATCAAACTGATTATAAATTAAATATACAATCGCCTTCCTCTATGTAGCCTTTGTAGAATTAACCAAAAAGACAAAAAAAAACGACCCCACAGTGTATACAAACAACTGTGGAAACCGGCGGCAGGTGAAAGCCATACTAGCCACATGAATGATTTCCTATGGAATCAACAGCAACATAAAGTATCACAATGACAGACGTTTGATTTGGATCACATAGCATGCTCGCTGGGTGGTGCAGCATTAAATCAGTGATTAATTACACAAGTTGCAACCTTTTTTTAATTGCCGATGTACAATTACGTTAACCATAACCGTACCTCATAAGGACCTGGTTTTCGAATTTTATTGCACTTTTGCACAATTACGTGGAGTAAAAATCCAGATGAGCTCCACACAGCTGGACTCTCAGAGCGTAGACTATCACATTCATATATTTTGCTGAGATAAGCAGAGTTCGGTGTTGCCTCTTTAGACCCCTGACCTGCTGTGGCCACAGACTCAGCGGCAGCTTCTTCTCTGCTGCTGATTTGGCTCTTATTTTATAAAGCATTTTCGTATGACTTTTGTGTATAGTCTGCAATGGATACACAATAGCTGTGACAAAAAGCAGTATTTTTGTGTGCTTGTAGGCTACTAATTTTGCTCTTAAGAAAAGCCAAGGAATAATTATCCTACGATAAAATGTCCATGTCCACAAATGCACAAGTGGTTTTATGACCCATTAAATATGTGTGTGTGGGGCTTGGTGTATAACATCTGTCTAAAAGCAGACCAGGGTATTAATTGATTGAATCTTTTTTTATTATTCAATACATCAAAGCAAATTAATACACAGCAAAATTGTGCTGAGGGCAGGCAGTGGCATCGAATTGAACAAATCAGCTCAAAGGAGAAAGTTGGAGTTCTAAGATAGAGTTCAGAGGGGTGGCACAACTTCTTAGTTTTTTATTTATTTTCTTATTAAATTGTATTGGTGGCATGGAGCTTCGTTTTTCACTGTCCCAAGTTTTCAGACAGTAAAGGACTCATAGCATGAGCAAGGGTGGTAAGTCGAACAACAACAGCAGTACTTATGGAACCTGCAAAACGTATTCTGGACGCAAGTCCAGAGACTGCAAGCAAATGGAAGAGCATTGAATATCAGAGCAGGAATGTGTAGTTGGTCTTTAAGCTTGGTTGGTTTCCTTCAGAGACAAAACGTATTGGTTTCATTACGGTAGTTTGAGGAACAGTGGTATTTATCAGTATTGTCTTCTTGTCAGAGGACCTGAACCGCATAGGACCCTGGTGGAGTTGACTGACTCGTCATGTCAGGTGACGTGGCTTCAATGCTTCTTCTTGCTGGACTTCTCGATCATGGTCTCCACCACCATGGAAGTCTCCTCGTAACCTTTAACCTTGCGGCCATTGGAGAACTTCTCCACAGACTCCACCACCTCCAGCTTCTCGTAGCTCATTGCGTCTGGGGTAAAGCTGCTTGAGCTGGTGCTGGTGCTGAAACTGGAACTGGAGCTGGAGCTGGTGCTGGCACCGCGAGGCGCAGCCTTTGGAGTGGGCCCAATGTCATCACGGCTTTTCTTCGGATGATCCGCGGCTGGGGTGGGATCTTTGGGGCCAGAGGGTGACGGGAGTGGGCTTGGATCTTTAGAGTGAGGATCTCCGTTCTTTTGCTTACCTTTACCGCCGTTGTCCTTACCTTTTCCACCCTTATTATCGTCTTTTCCTCCTCCTCCATTGGAGGGTGGGGTGGGATTGGGAGGCTTGGGGTCTACTATGGGCTGAGGAGGTTGAGGTTGAGGTTGTGGTGGAGGGGGAGGTGGAGGTGGAGGGGGAGGAGAGGGTGTGATGGGTACGTAAGGATCATAGGGAGGCATCACTCCATCTCTGATTGTAACGAAGATGTGGCCGGCTGATGGCGTGGAGGTGTAGAAGCATGGATGTGGGTAGCTGCCGTCGCCGGTGACGAGGACATAACGACCCTTGGTGTAGAAGTCAGCGATTGGCTCAGGCTTCTTGTACTTCCTCATTCTGTCTCTGACGATGTTACACAGAGTGTCAAAGGCCTTGCTGATCTGAGCTCCGTCTGGGACATCCTGTGGAGACACTTCAGTGAACACAGGCCTCTTCTCTTTTCTATTCACCCTCTCCTCATGCACTTCTACAGATGGGACCCCCTTTGTTTCTTCATCTGGCGCCTCTCCAGCAGCCCCCACATGTTTATCCTCCTGGCCACTGTCTATCACGTCTTTCGGGGTCAGCTCTTTCTTCTTCAGGACTTTTTTGGCCAGGATCTTCTGGCGGGGCTTGATGCTGGTGATATCTTGGATAACCTGGGTGATATCTGAACACAGATGAGGCCATATGTCAACTAGCTGAAACTGGTGATCTAAGAAAAGACCCACATTGTGTATGCAGCAACAGACCCAAATGTTATGAGATGCTAAAGACAATTAAGACATCACTTTAGTTAGCTTTGTAAGACTCAATGTCTAAAAGAGTATAGAGTTGTCTCTAGCAATGTCAGCTTATTGCATGTGCATTCAGAAGTAATTCTCAATGTAAACCAGCTGTGATGTGCTCATGGTGCCCTCACCTTTCCCCCTGCTTGATGCAGTAGGTGTGTGAGTGTAGCGGTAATTAGTGGTGAACAGGGTAATAGGAGTGCCAATTATCGCCGAATTCAACCTGCAGGAAAGAGAGCAGTGAAATGTCAGCAATGAAACAGCCATTAACTCTACAGAAGATTTCTATGTACAGAAATCTGCATTGGTAATTCATATTTTTCAAAAAAGGAAACAACTGGTTACTTTCAATAACAAACAAATATACCAAATCTGAAAGAAAAAACACTCTGCTTGTTGTTGTGCTACAAGAAAAAAACATTTGTTGTCACCCAGTGCCATCTGTTGGCTGATCCTGCATTCTACACTAACTTAGTTACAACATCATGTGAACGTTCTACGATTACACTGAAATTACCCATGACTTTTTTTCGATGGTTAATTCTGATATTCTTTATATATAAATATATATATATATATATATATATATAGCTTTAAGCTTTTCGGTTTTCTCACAAAGAAGTGCTTGTCAAGAGGTAGAGGGAGGTACCTCTTGTACCTCTTTGGATGTGTGGAGAAGAAACTCTCATTTAATAAAAAAAAAAAAAAAAAAGTAATATAATCATACCATTTGCAACCTGTTTTTGGTGGCTAACATTTGGGGTCAAGAAGAATTTGCTTCTGCCTTGACATCATTTTTAAAGAATATAAATCCGTAAACTCATTTTTTGCAGCTTTTGATCTATGTTATGTTAACTTTATGATTAAACACATGTATCCTTGTAATAATGTAATCATGTAAAAGCAGTATGCATCACCTATTACATTTATATTGGATTTGTTTGGGGTCAAAATTATTTCTCAGCTATTATTTCAGCCTTCAGTGAAGAGCTCCGTGCCATTTTAGCCTCTTCAGTCAGACGTTGCATGCCTGTTCAACAGTGTTCTCTGTGTGTGCCAGCAACCAGGTGGAGGCAGTCTACCTGTTATCTTCGTTCTCGATGATCCTCTTGTACCTCTCCAGCTCATTCTCAAGGGATGTCTGGTACATGGCCAGGTGGCGACATTCACTGGTGAACTTCTCGAGGGACCGCTCAGCTTCCTCGATCTCCTTCCGCAGAGATTCAATTTGCTCGTTGTACATCTGAATCTCATCGTCATAACTCTCCTGTGTGTTTCTGATGGTTTGCTCAAACACTGT